CTGCACTTCGCTGGCACTGGCTATTTACTGCTGCCCTTCCATCGCTCACCTACTCGTGCACAGACCTTCTCTCTTAAAGATCTCTGCTCAGCTTCTTTTTAGAGAAACTTTGATAAGATCATTGCTGGAAGAGCTCTGGAAAACAAGCAGCCCGCGTCAGCCCTCATCCCCGCGCTCTCTGATGCCCGTAATGAAGTCCAGTGGGCTGATGAAGGAGGCCTGCCCTTACCACAGACGGGCTGACCCTTCCCACTGCACCACCACTGCACAGCACTAATTTGAGTCTTCGTTGATTTTTTCTGCACAGATTTCAGGTTCAAAGACCCGCAGCTCTCCAGATCTTCTCTGGAAGCCTTTTAACAGCAGCCAGCACAGCCGCCACCTTCCAGTGCTCTGACAGCAGAGCAACTTCAGGCAAGGTCACACAAAGCAGTGACGAGGTCAGGCAGTTCCTCTACAGCTCAGAGGAACAAAAGCCAGTGAACCACCACGGTTCATTTTGTGCCACAGCCTCTCCTAGAGCTGCCTTGAGCTCAGCCGGATCCCCTCAGCACACAGAGTCTCCATGCAAGGGTGTAACCGCCCTCCTTTACTTTTGCTGACAACCACACGGGCTTCAGGCTTGCAGAGCTCCTTACTGCTTCCAGAGAAGCTTTAAGGTGCCTGGGGCACTTAGGAGGCAGACAAGAAGCACAAATGCTGACTGAACATTGCTGAGGTGCTGCCGAATCCACAGGTCACCTTCAGTTTATCTGAGGGCCTTTACAAACAAGCCCTGACGCTCTTATCGGTCAGATCAACGCTTCAGCAATGTCACTTTGCTTCGCTACCAGAGAAACCAGAAGATAAAAACGCAGGGAGAAAGCAAAGACTGAAGATAATCCTTAATTCCTGCAGAAACTGGATGTCTTGTATTTTCTCAGGTTTACACGGGGCTTTACAGGATTGGGCCTGGGGACCACGATCTCCCCTAAAAAGCCATTGCTGGCAAACTACAACTGTGCATTTTGCTGATTTGTGCCATAACCTCTTCTAGAGATAGATCAAGGTGAGCCAGATGATGAATTAGCAGCTAGGAGTCCAGTGGACACACTGAACAACCGTTCAGCGTGAGCTGAATTAGACTGCTGTTAACCTCGCTCCGAGCACAGCTGGACTCAACACCTCAGTTCCAACCGATGAGAACATGCCCCTAACGCGTGAGAGTCAACCACAGAACGTGTATCGCAGCACTAACACCACACCGCGCAGGGCAGCAGTGAGCACACGTTCACATCGCTGCCCGTTCACCACCTCTGCTCCAGCGCAGGCTGCACCACAGCTCAGCCAGGGCCGTTCCTGCTCCCGCAGAGCTTAGCCTATACCCCCCTCTTCTGGCTGCATCTCGTCGCTAGAGAACTCCTGTAGATGCAATTAAAACATCACCCCTTGGTTTTACAGCACACGATTTTATATAGAAATAGAACTGGCCTTTGTTTTTTTTAATTATCGCAATTCTTTTCTATTCGAAAGAATAAAGGCCCTTTATTGAAGGCAGTGCTCGGTGACACTTCACTTTTATCTCCTCTCCCAGAACTTAACTATTCAAAACTTCACAATTTTCCAGAGACTACCAAAGCACGTTAAGTAGCTCTGCCTCAGATCAATGAGGAGATTAAATAAAGTACCAATCTGACAGGAGTAAATTGAGGCATAAGCAACTCTTTTGTCTTGCCTGCTGGCAATGAATTGAACCACGGTGAAGGATTCCTATTTCCAATCAATCAGCTCTCCCACGGGACTGCTCTTCACACCTTTACACGCTAGGAGGAAGATCACGGGTCACTTGTGGCTCTGAATATTAACCAAGTGAGATAATACTGCTTGCTCTGGTGCAATAAATTGGGTGATGTTAATACTCACCCCAAGCTGTCCTATCAAAACACAGCAAAACCTTAACGGGCTGCAGTCATGTAACCACAGGTATGAACCGATTGTCCATGCAAACTTCAATCCACGCTCCTAAAACCTGTGTCCTTGTTAATACTCTCAATTACAGCCATCTACAACTCAGCCCACAGACCTCATGGGGGGTTTCAGTGTGGACGGCTGGCTGTGTTTTCAGATAAAGACGTGCACATAGGATGCAAGGTCTGTGGCTACACAACAGCCTCGCGTCTCCCCCTCTTTTGGAGCGACTGTAGCCCGTGAAGCAGACGGCCACAGAACATGGAGCCAAGGCTCACATCTGAGGGAAGGCAGCAAAAGTCAGGGCCATTTCCAGGAAGAGCCAGATGGAGGATCCAGGGAACCACAGCCCCGTCAGTCTGACCTCAGCACTGCAAAAAGCATGGAGCAGGCTCATGGAGCAGCTCATAGAGCAGCATCCCGAGTGCCATCACACAGCACATCCAGGACAACCAGGAGATCAGGCCCAGTCAGCACGGGTTTATGGAAGGCAGATTCTGCTTGACTGACCTGATCTCCTCCTATGACAAGGTGACCCACTTGGTGGACGAGGGGAAGGCTGTGGATGTTGCACACCAGGAATTTGGTAAGGCCTTTAACATGGTTCCTCACAGCATCCTCCTGGAGAAGCTGGCTGGGCATGGCCTGGACACACACAATCTTTGCTGGGTTAAAAACTGGCTGGATGGCCTGGCCCGAAGAGTGGTGGTGAATGGAGTCAACTCCAGTTGGAGAGCAGTCACAAGCGGTGTTCCTCAGGGCTCGGTTTTGAGGCCAGTCCTGTTTAACATCTTGATCAATGACCTGGATGAGGGGACTGAGTGCTCCCTCAGTCAGTTTGCAGATGACACCAAGTTAGGTGGCAGTGTTGATTTGCTCAAGGGTAGGAGGGCTCCAGAGGGACCTGGCCAGGCTGGAGTGATGGCCAAGGCCAATGGAGTGAGGTTCAACAAGGTCCTGCACTTGGGTCACAACTCCATGCAACACTGCAGGCCTGAGGAGAGCAGCTGGAGAGGATCTGGAGGAGAAGGACCTGGGGGTGTTGGTTGACAGTGGCTGAACAGGAGCCAGCAGAGTGCCCAGGGGGCCAAGAAAGCCAAGGGCATCCTGGCCTGCATGAGGAATGGTGTAGGCAGCAGGAGCAGGGAAACGATTGTCCCACTGTACTCAGCACTGCTGAGGCCACCCCTCGAATCCTGGGGTCAGTTTTGGGCCCCTCGCTCCCAAAAGGACATTGAGGGGCTGGAGTGTGGGCAGAGAAGGGCAAGGGAGCTGGGGAGGGGCTGAGTTCCATGAGAAGAGAAGTCAACCTAAGCACTCTGCACTCCTAGGCCTGGATTAGAAAGGCACCATGGGATCAGATCCCATCTGCTCGTTTAAACAGGAGACATTTTGAGATGCAGTTTTCAACGGATGAGGTCAATCGATGTAACCAGAAAAAGACAGGCAGGCAAGTCTTTGAGCCTGGAAAGCAGAAAACTGAAAAGCACTATTTAGCTCTTGGATACAGCGGCACTTACCGATCAGGTTAAGAGAGGAGTTCTCAGCTTTTTCAAAGGCAACTTGACTGTTTCCAAGAACCAAACCAACTTCAATCTGCAAAAGGGAAGGAAACAATTACATGAAGCTGCTAGGCTCAACGTCAGATCGCTTCTCATCTCAGAGAGCAAGGAAGTGCAGCAGAAATGCCACTACAAAAGTCACTGGGAAGAACATGAAACACCAACACCTCCTCTAAAGTTAACATCACTGAATGCAGCGGCTCATCAGGTATCATAAATCGGCTTTTTAAAGCTGTTTGTTTAGTTAAAACCAACTGTTTTATTTCAGCAAGTTCTAGAAAGTAAAGAAGAAAATTTTAAAATGTCCTTTCTGTTGAATGACCAAAAAAATCAAAATTGCGCATTCCTGGAAGACAAAAAGGCCCAAAAGATGATGTTGCCATGAGTCAGTACATAAAAACCAAAGGACATTCCTTGTACCTGCCCCAGCTCTGCACTTCAGTGGGTTCAGCTCTAAGCTCCCGACCACACAAGCACAGAAAGCTGCATTACACTGAACACAGCACCCCGTGTCTTCTCTGAGGCAATGGAACACATGTGCAACTTCTCCCAGTGCAGTAATCTAACTCCTCGTAGCGAGGTCTGATCGGTATTTGAACCCCTGCAGTCCCCAGGGAACCAGCACGAGTTCCTGTGAGCCTACCTTCTGCTTCTTGCTTGCTCCAGACTCTCCTTTGAGAATGCTGGGGTCCATGGCTTCCATGTCCTTTACTAACAGCCCAAAAAGTTTGTCATTAAAACTGAACACAAGCTGTGGAAAGAGAAAAGAGAAAGGGATTTTAACTCGTTAAAAAGCTAACAAGGATGTTGACACGACTGCTAAGTTTTGAAGAGAAAGAGCTCTGAGGACGAAGGTTACCATTCAACAACTCCCAAAGGTCTGGGGTGCTGAGCAGCACAGGAACACAGAGTGGTTTGGGTTGGAAGGGACCCTCAGAGGCCGCCTGGTCCAACCCCTGCAGTGAGCAGGGACATCCCCAAACAGACCGGGTTGCTCAGAGCCCGTCCAACCTGGCCTTGAACGTCTGCAGGGATGGGGCCTGCACCCCCTCTGGGGATCCTCTGGCACTGCCTCACCACTGTCTCTGCACAACCCCTTTCCTCCAAGATGACATTTGCAACTGGCTCAAGATTCAGACCCTGCAAGTTGTAAACTGCTACAAGAGACAGACCTCAACCTGGCCCAAGAACACAGCTCAGCAGAGGCGACCGCAGACGTTCGCAGGGCAGAAGCCCACCTGCTGCGGAGCTGCGAAGGCTCAGCTCCAGGGACACCACCTCTCAGAAATCCCCAGGTCCAATGCTTCGTACCTGTCTTAGGGCTGGAGTCCATAGAGTAGTGATGAGTGCTACAATAAACTACACCGCACTTGAAAGGTGCTACCGAGAGTCATTTAAACTGGTGTTCATTCTGATCGTGCGTAGAAGGAAGACAAGAGTCACTTCTCAAGAGATCCCAGGAGCTGCCATGCTCACACCTGACCAGGCTACAACAGAGAGAACCCAGCTCTCTCAAGCCTCAGGGTTTTCCTTCACAAAGACAGATTTCTTTAGGAAAAGGCAGGTTTTAAACCGCTCTGCTCACGCTTCCAGTCAAAGTCATGATGGTTCAGTGTTCCATAAGGAAACCACTCACACAATACAACTATTTCTGCCTCTTAGGTGTCCTGTGCAGCACGGAGCCATCCCTCAGCGTCTGACACCACTGCAGTACAACCACTGTGTTGTTTAAGCACATTTAACTTCACCAAAGCAGACCAAGCCCTCACCTGCTGGCCCACTGAGAAGGCCTGGCTGTTGAACTGCTGGATGAACTCCGCAGCCATCTTGTCCGTGTCGTAGGGGTTGGAGTCAATGTTCTTCTTCTGCAGGAAATCGATCTCGATCGTCATGGTGCCGATGCACTGCTTCGCCTTGTCGAAGGTGTACAAGGAGACTGATGGAAACAAAGAAACAGCACGTTTCAGAACAGCAGCATCCCCCACAAGATATTAAACACAGTATTATTTTGGCAGTACACGTTTTTTCATTCACAACGAGTACTTAACAAAACTGAACATATTATTTCTGATAGAGACCTTTATTTCTCTACTTTCTCTTAGAACTGAGCACAAGCAGTCCTGCAGCAAGGACTGAATGCTGGGGGTGTCTGGCACAGAGAACAGCAGCACACCACGGGGGATGCAGGGCAGTAAGCAACGTACAGCACCAGCTTCAAAAGCCTGAAATGTCCCCAGAACAGAGAGGGAGGCAGAGATGGCAGCAGGGACCTCCTGGCACCCACCTGAGGCACTCGGCCTTTCCACAAGGCGAAGGGAGATTCCCTCACCTGGACAGAAAGCCTTTACCAGAGCGTGAGGGGCTGCACGGGACTCAGCTTCGCTGTGCCACTGACTGCATTTACTGACACGAAAAGCCTGTGTTTGGTATCATCAGGGGAACAAGACAGAGAGCGCCCTGGTAAACCACCAGTGCTACGAACACTTCCCCCTTTACAAACCCTCTGTACTCAGCAGGAGTCATACGACATTTAGTCACTCTGACAAAACTACCGCGCTACTTTTCTAAACACATGTTCCCACATGGTTGGTAAATTTATAGCAAGGTCTAGCACCAGTACAATCACAAACCTGTTCTAACAGCTCATCACACTGGATATCAGCGCTGCTTCCCCCAAGTAACTTCAGTATTAAAAAGCACTTATCTGCGAGCAGCTGGCACGTGTCACCTATCAGCAACCAAACAAGGGCGAGAAACAAAGTAATCTGTGGGTCTCCCCAATCACTGCAGGTCTTCCTCAGTTTAAAAAACAAACCCAAACCAGCTAGCAAAGAGAAATGGCTTCCAAGCAAGGCCTGTGAGGTAATACAGATAGACAAAGAGAGATCCACAGAGACACCAGGCTTCACACGTGAGCACTGACCACACGATGGACTTGCCGAGACCACAGGAGCTGGGAAATCAAAGAGTCAAGGAGCAAGCGTGGCAAACAGTGCCCCACGTCCACCTCTCAGTCTGGGTCCTCCTCACTCTGACACAAGACGCAGCTGTCAGCTCTGCCCACACCCCTCAAATGCGAGAAGTCCCTGGAATCTCTGTGCACCCCTCACACGGCAAGAGAGGGGCTGCACAGTTTGCTCCCTGAACAACTGTGAGCCAGTCAAGCCTTGGAGCAGGCTTCACCACAGCCACGAGACAGAAAGGGATGAGCCGGCTGCCCCCAGGAGCACTCGGGTAATTCCTGGTGGTCAGGACACACACCGTCCATTACCTCCATCGGCCGTGGCAGAGAACATGGAGACCTCCCAAAAGAAGCTGCTGCCAGGAGCTGGGTCACTACTCGAGAAGCTGCTGACAGAGCAAACAGCAGCACTGACAACTGACAGCGATGCCAACCGCTCGTAAACCAGAGGTGACGGTGACAGACAGCACAAATAAATGAAAGACAGAGCGTGAGAGCTGAGAGACACAGAGCAGCCTCCTCTTTGAACACTGGCAAAGGCTCGTCAGACTCAATTAGGACTCGTAATTGGAATACAGATCTCCAATTTGCACAGACTGGAGATGCATCCCTTTCCTTTCATCACACCGCAGAATATCCTCGTCAGTGCCTGGTGAAAGCAGCACTGCTCACAAAGCTGATCCCGCTCCAGAGCGCACCGCTGGCTTTTGACAACTGAGCACTGAAACCTCCCTGTTCTCAAGACTCAGATTTCGATGCCAGGAATACCCGCAATGACAAGAGCTGTTTGTGTTCGCTGGTGAGGGGTCTCCAAAGCCACAGAAGCTTTGTGGGTGTGTTAAATGTTCACATCACTGATGTCCCACACAGAGCGATGCTGCTGCACTAGCAGACATCTGCAGAGCAGTCAAAAGGGTCCTCCAGGTTTTGGAAACGTCCAGAGGCAGAAAGGCTGCAGACAGGAGCACAACGACCTTTCACTAACGAGGGCCCTGCACTGCCTGAGAAAGGGCTGCAGAGCTGAGATTTTCCAATTCGGTCTCACTTCAGCGCAGAAACACAGAATTCAGACTTATAAACACAAATCACGATCACGCTGCTGTGTGACTTACCGTCGATCTCTTGTCCGATAGAGAGTCCAGCCCATTTCCTCTGTAAAACAAGACAAACACTTCAGGAAGCCTGTCCTTCAGCACAGCAAACACCCATTCACACTCAGCGCCCTCAGCAAAGCAGGCTCCCCCTTAAGCAGCAGCAAAACACGGCAGAATGGGATCCTACAGAGACCCCCAAATTAACAGGAAACAAGTCAAAACCGTGGAGTAGTTTCCATTGATAATGCTGTTTTCTCAGCTCAGGAGGTTGTTCTCCCCAGCCTGCATTGCTGGACACTCCACCACCACGGAGGCAGTGGGGGGTCTGTCCTCCTGCTCGTTTCCCACCGAAGCTCAGGTGCTGATCACACAAGAGGAAGCACACCAGGCAGGAACGGCTGCCATGCACTCCGTGGTCATTTTAAAACCTACCTGTATGTACCAGCTGCAGGAAGTTGTAACGTGCTTTAAGTTACAGAATCAGCACTTGCTACCACAGTCACTTTTTGGGGGCAAGCAGCCTCCCTCACCCCTTAGCAGAGGAGCTCTCCCGGCTTTAGGAAGTACTGGAATCCACAAAAAGGAACCCCAGACCACGAACGCACCCACTCGAACCCTGCGATACAAATATCGTCTACTGATAGCTGGGTTCCAGTTCGGGCACCACAAACCACAACGGGACACACAGGGAACACAAAATCCCCTTCACCCGCTCATCCGGACAAACCCGAATTTGAACAGGACATCAAAAAGCAGCTCTGGGGCCTACGCCAAGTCGTCTGCTGAGGAGAAATACCTTGTGTCTGCAGCACAGAGACTCAACTGCTCGGCCAGGAAACCATGAGAGCATTAAAGCAGTGACCACGGCCATCGCAGTCTCACATTTTGTGACTCCCTGCATGAGTTGAAGGCTACAAGAGGCATTTTTCTACTGTATCAATTAGTTATTCTAACCTTCATTTAACATGTTGACTTAATTAAGAAAGGGGAGACAAATCCAATCTATGCATTACATGGCACTTTTCACCTAGAAATGCTAACAATGACCAAGTACAGTCAACAAAACTTCCTGCAGGTCCTTAAAAGAGCAGCACAGCACAGCACAGAAAACCCCTTCAAGTCAAGGGAAACCAGGGAACAGGAGGATTCCACAACAGCAGACATCACTGAGGCTTTTCTTTTCTAAACAGTTCATTTCTGATGGTTTTAAAAAGGCTAAATTACACATTTTCTAGTACTTTTATCCCACCATGCACTAAAACCAGATCAAAGCAATATAAGCAATTTTGCTTCGGCTATAGGAGGTCTCCTCAATTTTTTGCTGTCAGAAATCAAATTTGTAGCGCACATTCACGCAGACATCTCCCCTCAATTAGAAGAGTTATCTTCAATGCTGATCTCAGTGGAGATTGTGCTTTTCCATAGCAAAGCAGCAAGTCAAACCGTACGGTACCTGGGGCAAGCTGAACGCGATGCTGCCAGGAACAACTGAGGAATGGGTCCTCAGGGTGAAAATGTACTTGTGGTTGGGCGAAGTCTTCACAACAACATGTCTAGAAGAGAGAACAAACAGCATTTTACTCCAGTACGTACCCAGGAGGATTTCACATTGCTCCCAGTGCTGTGAGAACTGAAAAGAAGCAAGCACCTGGTGCTAGGAAGGAGGAAACAAAGGCTCCAGACCTGCACAGGACGCAGGCGCCATCGCTGTCAGTGACTGAGCGGGACCTCAAAGCCCAGCCGCAGGACATGGCCCCACCAGTCGCCTTGTACCTCAGGAACTGCACAAACGTGAGAGGACCAAACTATAACCACAGTGACCAAGGCTGTTGTACCTGAAAATCAACGCTGGTTTCACATCTCACGCTGCTAACACCAAAGCATCACTGTTTCACCCCAGTGCAGGCAGCGTTCCACGGCTGTGACTTCAACAAGAACTGATGCAAAGCCCACACAAGGAGCTCAGTGCATTGTTCAGGAGTCTGACCACAGGAAACAACGGAAGGAATTCCTGTACAAGAAGTACAACCACACGGGTGCTGAGGCTGTTCCTCCTGCTTGCTAGAGACCAACAGATCCTGAGCTCAGACAGCAGGGCCAGAGCACTGTAATAAACCAGAACAAGGCCAACAGGCGGGAGCAGACGCAGCAGCAGACACAGCAGCAGCCATTGCTGTGCCTGCCCGTCACTCCCACACGCTGAGCTGCCAGGAACAAAGACACCCAAAAGCTGCTTACAGTTATCCTGAGGCTCTGCCCGACAGCTCTTATGGGATGGGCAGACTTCTTCCTGCATAAGGCAGCAAAACAGCAGGAGGACGGGATCTGCGTGCACTGGAGGCAGGGGCGATGGCAGAATCACGTTGCTCCTCATCATCGTCTTCACAGCCTGTGCTCAGCCCCCCGTAGGTGCACGAGGCCACCAGCTCCTGGCAGTCCACGTGTCCCATCCACGTATGCTCTGTACATCTGCATTTGCACAGGCACAGCAAACCCAGCAGCACCCAAAAGCAGATCTGCTGCACACGTACACAGTGGCGACATGGTGTATGCACAACAGCTTCAGCCACGTGGCAGGAGAGAACAAACATATGGCCCTTTGAGACGAGAGGAAACGTGGGGCCTGCACAGCCAAAACCACCACACATCACCAGCTTTAGCCCAGACATAACGGGAAGCTTGCAAAACCCTTCCAGGAACTGCCAGCGCTGGATGGCACAGCAGGGTAGGAAATAATTTTAGACACATCACACAGCGATGCACATCTCCTCTGTCAGGTGGACCATGGAGTTGACTCTTCACCGGTTCTGGCCCTGAATCACCCATCTGCTGCCTAAAAGCCCAGCCACAGGGATGTGTACCCTTCCTTCTCCATCTCCTCCTCCCCAGGTGTAAATCCAGAAACCTGTGGCTTGGCTTGGCTCCCTGTAAATCTTACAGAGGGACAGCAGGACATCTAATGGTGCTTCATGGTGATGAGGGACAGTTCCTGAGGACTGGGAGGAAGCAGATGTCACTCCTGTCTTCAGGAAGGAGGATCCAAGGAGGTCAGCCCCAGCACAGTCTCTGGGACAGCAGCCAACATGTACTGAAGGACAAGAAAGTGACTGGGAGCAGCCAGCCCAGACTTACAAAGGAAAACCAGGCCTGACCACTACGACAGCCTTCCAGGATGAAACGGCGAGCTCGGAGGATGAAGTTGTGCAGAGGATATTGCTGATGTCACCATCAGCAGTGCTCTCTGCACTGCCTCACAAAACCATCCGCATGGACAAGCCGATGAAACGCGGGCCAGGCAAGCAGGCAGCGCCGTGGAGCCAACGCTGCCTGAGCCGCTGGGCGCACAGGGCTGTGAGCAGAGCACGAAGCATGGCCTCGGGCTGTTCACCAGTGGTGCACCCACCCCAGGGGTCCACACAGGGCCAAAAACACTGCAACTCCTCACTGGTGAGTGGGGTGACCCCTGGCCAGCTGCCACCTGCTG